TTGATTGACTGGCAAGAAAAATAGACTCAAATGTCTTCAGAGCTCAGCTTGCTCCTTGGTGCTGGTTGATTTTACCTGCCATTCTCTCTGGCTACCTCCCTGCCCTCCCACTTTGAAGGAAAATCCAGGAGACACTGGTATTCTCTCCAGCCGGAAGAACGAAGGGGCGATGGACCACATGGTGGTGGTTTTCTTCATCCAGGAGGAAGCACTACCCCCTGCCGCCCTCTGCTGTTCAAATAAACCCGGGTCCTCAGCAGCTCTTCCGCACGTGGTCTATGCCAGGCCCGTCCTCTGGCCTTTGGTCTCCCAGAGAGAGAGCATGTGCCTTTCCCATAAAGAGTGTCACCTTTCCCCACCACCACATCCGTCTTGGGTTCCAGTTCTCCCCCCTTTCCCGTCTGCCACTCTGCACGGCCCCCCCCAGACTGTTCCTAAGGAAGGGAAGCATTCAGTTTCAAGAAACAGGGCAGCTTACAATGAGCCCTTCAGGTCCCAGCCTGACACCTCAGGTCCCTTCACACATGAGCAGTGATCATTAGACAAGGCGGTCAGGAGGCCAGTGTCCTTATCTGCTAATTGTGTGACCTCCATGAATTTGCTTCAACAAATACTTGACCTCCTGCTATGTGCAGAATGCTCTGTTAAGCAGCCTAACAAGTGGTACATGGGACATGTACAAGGGTGGCCATCTTTAAAGGATTCACAGCCTCGAGGGGCAGTAACTGCAGGGAAGATGCTAGGATAGATGGGCACGTGGTCAGGGCTATGGGACGAGCATGGAGGACGGAAGAGCACTGCTGGCTGAGTCCCCACACGGGCCGGCGATGAAGTCAGAGCAAGTCACATTCCAAGTAATGGGAATAGGAAGACACCCAAGTTCGTTCAACACATTTTCTCCCCTCTCCTCCCCCAAATTAGGATCCCACCCCTTTACAGTTCCCTGGTCTGACAGATATGTGCCTGGCTCTGAGGCATTAACACCCAACAACACACGGTCCTTGCCCGCCTGGGCCCTGAAGTCCATCCATAGGGAGCCATAGACCAATACAGAGGCTCCTACACTACAGCTAAGAGGCGGTCACAGCCCTCCTCCAGTCCACGTTCGGATCTGCTTCCACGTGGAAAGAAGAAAAATGAGGAGGAACCGTCTATGGACACAACCCAGAGTCAAAGTGAACGAAATCATGAGCATGGGTTTGCCCAGGCTCCTGGTCCTTGCTGGACGAGTTTAACGAGGAGGATTGGGTAGAGATGGGCTGCAGAGCAAAGGTGAGCAGGTAGGCCTTGGCATCGGTGACTAACTTTCACAACACTTTTCCCAAAACCCTGCCTCTGCACCGAACGCTGTGGCGGAAGGAGCGGTCAGGGCCAGTCCTCTGCACCGTCTCCTGGATCTTACATGGACTTCCCTGTCTCATCTGGAAACAGAAGTAAATGACCCCTGTGCAACACTTCCTCCCCAAGGGGGGGGGGGGGGCAATGAAGGAGGCTGTGAGTAGCCTGTGCCAACTCCAGAACGCTGCACAAGTCAGTGCCATTGTCACCATTCCCAGCAGTACCTGGGCCAGCCTCGCGCAGCGCAATCAGGACAGGTGCCTCCCCCCAGCCCTTGTAGATAGAGAACCTGCAATAAAGCCTATTGGCCACCTTTCTCTCCAACCTCCCCAGTGAAGCCTGCACCCAGGCCGGGAGGACCTGCTTTCTAACCAGTGCCCGTGTTTAATAACGTGCTTACCGCAGTTGGCGTTGTGATGAGAACGAGAAAGAAGGCGAGAAGTCCTCTAAGCAGCAGTGGGGGTGCCGTCTTATAAAAGTGCTGCACAGTGCCTGGTGTGAACCCCACGTACAATTTTATAACCTGGGAACTGCCACTCATCTCTCCCACCGGTCATCTGTGTCCTCTCAGAGGCCCCTGCGTGGACTCCCTGTCTTGCTCCTTGTGGATTCCCATCGGGATGGGAAAGACAGGCCACTGAGCAAAGTTGGCCACATTCCCAAATTGTTTTTACCGGAGTCCTTCTGATGGAGTGGGGGTGGGGCAGGGTGAGGGCCGTGCTTCATGCTTGTGGAAGGCTGTTCAGTAACACCAGCCAGGCCACACTCGGCCACTGAACCCATGTCATTTAATTCCATAGACTCAACAGCGGATTCCCAAGGAAAGGCAGCGAGCATGTCTGCCTTCCTCCCTGCCAGACACCACCACCCGACCAAGGGTCAGCTCACAAAAAACTCTCATCAGTGAATGAGTCCTCCCACCCAACACCATTCCAGGTGGGCATTATTGTCCCCAAGTCACAGACACAACCGAGGCCCGAGCTGCTTTAAGAATGTTTCCAAGGCAAGAGAGCTGGTCTGGCTTAGGGTCTGGGTTCTTCGCGTTCTGTCTGCTCAGAGTTCACAACCCCTCGTGCCCAGATACCTCCTCTCTCAGAGGCAACCGGTTTTGTTGCTTTTTAATCACTTCCCACAAAGTTTGCCTGCCACCTGTGTTTGAAAACAGGCTCTGGTAAATTGCAATATAGCAGAAGGGATTATTTTATGGACCATTTGGCCCTATTTCCAGATCCTACTTGTGAACCAGTCCTCAATTCTCAGGAGAACTGAAATGAGAACAAAGATCAAACACTCATTCGGCCAACATGCCTGCAATGCCCGCAGTGCAGCAGACCCACGCTGGGGCCTGAGGTACAAGGGGAAGGACGAGCGGCTCCTGTCCTTGAAGAGCCTACAGCCCATGCTCTGGCTGCGCCTTGTCTCCTTGAAAGAAAAGTTATTAAGAAGTGAGACATTCTGACTGAAGAATATTTGGAAAGGCTGGGTAAGAAGAGAAGAAAAGTGTCACCCAAATCCAGGCAACATTCTCCAAATCCTGAGGGCAGGGCCTATGGCCCACACACCTCCGTGTCCATGAAACCTTACGCCGGCCCAGAAGAGACGGCGAATGTTTGAATGGGGGGAAGGCTGCCCTTTATCTCATCCTGAGAAAACCACTGGGGACTTCAGACGATATTCTTAGTCTCTTGTTCTTTGGCTGGGAGATGGCTGGTTCTCTTTGCCTCAACCTAAGCCAGGCGGGTAAATGCATGGCCTCCTTAGCACCCCCGACAAATGATGGGGCGCTGCCCCCCATAGTTAGGGGCAGTCCCCTACATGTCTCCGCACATAGCAGAGTCTCTTAGATGTAGGGAAGGCAGAAGCTTTTACCAAATCCCCACACACATCCCTACCCCCCACCCTACCCCTACCCCCACCCACCCCACCCTACCCCACCCCACCCCACTTCAGGAGAGCCTCAGGGGCAGGAAGTGCTTTCTCTGAGAGCAGTTTCCTTGAATTGAGGGAACTTTCCGGAGCTCTCAAACTGGGCTGCATGTTGACGCACCTGAGGCAGCTTTCAGAGCTCCCGCTGCCTGGATCTCCCCGACGCACACGCTAATTAAAACAGAATCTCTGGGCATGAGGCCCTGGCATTGGTCTTTTTGTGTTTTCCAAGTTGTCCAGGTCAAAGATTGAGAACCAACAATTAAAGGGAGGCCAGACAGTGGTGTGAGTGGCCTCTTGAGACCAGCAGAGGGCACTGCAGTGGCCAGTCATGGGCTGCTCAGCCCCAGGCCTGGCATCACAGGCCTGCTGGGCAGCCTGCTTCCTGAAAACCTGGGTAGCGTCCTGGGCAACGGATCTGCAGAGGGGAACCCGGAGCAGGACGCACAGCTCTGTTCCCAAGGGCATCCGGCTGCCTGTGTAGGGAGGAGCACACAGAAGCCATGTTCCCCTCCGATGTACATACCGGGTGCTAAGTGTGAACGCCCCGGGGCTGTTTGTACGGCACATCAGCTTTCCGGCTTCTCTATGAAGGAAAGAAGAGTTTGCAAAATAAGTTATTAGAGCTAAGCCGCTGCCACAATAAGCTGCTTAGCAGAAGAGGGATGATCAGAATGAGATCATCTGTATTTAAAGTCATCGAAGACTTGTTCTTGTCAAACATAGTGCTAAGCACTTGACATAAATTATTTTTCATAATACTTTGCACGAAGCATTACTTATTCCCATTTTATAGTAGATGAAATCGATGCTAATAAATTTCAAGTAATTAGCATGAAATCACATTAAATAGAAGAGATGAGCCCAGCCTCTCTGACTCCGAAGGCCCTGTTTGGGTCCCCCTGCCAGGCGTGATGACCAGGACTTGCTTGGTTAGAGGTCATACAAACATGGGAGAGAAATCGAGGCTTCCGCCCCCTGAGGAAAGGTAACTTTTCCGCAAGGCGAGGCTGGAAGGTATTTCTTTCTGAGAAGACCCGTGTTGTCACAAGGCAGTCAGCATGGGATGTGCCAAGAGCTCCCTTGGTGCCTCTGCCAACTAGCCCTGGCACCAGACAAGTCTAGTCGGCCCAAGGCTCTGTTTTCTCCCCTCTGCAGCCAAAGGGCTCAAACCATTAGGTCAGTGGCTCTTGAGTTGCCCTATGGAGGCCTGGGATGCGGGAGGTCATGCTGGGGACAAGAGGGATGGGCATGTAGCTGCTTGGGGAGATGAGTTCATTTGGAAGGAAACCACTAGGTTTGTGATTAGTGGTTCATGCCATTGACCCTTCCAATTGGATAAATGTCAGGTCCTCTGTTTTTGAAAATTCATGAATCTGGAAAGAATTGATGCCATCACAATACATAAGTGGGTGTTGAACAGGGTGGGCAGGGTGGGCACACACGTGGCAGGGAGAAGAGCAGCTGAGGCGGTGGAGAAGAAAGGCCTGCTGCGGCCAGCACAGCCCCGCCTGCGCCCGGACACCCGGAGGAGTGCGACCGACCAGAGTAGACAGGAGAGTAAGCCAGGGCCCTTCGTCGTCACTGTGATGGAGACACGGTCACAAACCACGGAGGCGGGGCTCTGGGCTTGCCCCCCCTAACCTGTGCTTCTTTTTACTCAATAGGGTAAAAGTCTCCGTTCTCTTATACTGGGTTAGGACTTCAGCAATTTTCTGTTTCTTTTTGTTTTTCAGATCTTAAATCCAAATTTCATCCAAGAAGGTGAGTTTGAAAAGTGGTAGAATTGAGAGCACAGGGATTGGCTCAGTCATTTATGCAAACCCAGCACAGAAATGGAGCCTTTAAACCAGTGGTTCTCAACCTTGGCTGCACATTAGAATCACCTGGGGATCTTTTTAAAATCTTGATTTCTGGGCCTCATCCTCCGGAAATTCTGTTTCTTTGTTACTAATGTTGTGGCCCCACCCCATAACAAAGAAACAGAATTTCCGGAGGATGCGGCCCAGGAATCGGGATTTTAAAAAGGTCCCCAGGTGATTCTAATGTGCAGCCAAGGTTGAGAACCACTGCTTTAAACAGTGTGAGGCCGGGCTGTACTTAGACGGGGAAGCGTGTTTATGACGCACTGTTAGGGTGGGAAGACCACAGGTGCAGTGTGGGTAATGGGATTCAAGTTTGGTAAGACCACGTGCGTGGATATGAAACCTAAGAGCACCTATACCAGATGCTCACAGTACTTACCTCTGAATCATGACATCACGAAGCGTTTTCTCCTCTTTGCTTACCTGTGTTTTCTAATTTTTTTCACAATAAACACTTGTTGCCTTTAAAATACCTTTTCGTGGGGCACAGGTGACTCGACAGTGTTAAGCCGAAGGTTATCTGAGTCGTTATGCATCATGGGTGGGAAACCAGAGTCAGGTGTGGTAAAGTGGCTGCTTTGTTCCCAGTTCCGAATGATGTGAATTTATGTCCATTTGACTGCAGTGGCCCCAGAATTCCTTGTGCCCTTGGTGGATGTGACCTGCTTGCTTGGGGACACAGTGACACTGCAGTGCAAGGTCTGCGGGCGGCCGAAGCCCACCATCACCTGGAAGGGGCCAGACCAGAACATCCTCGACACCGACAGCAGCTCAGCCACATACAGCGTCTCCTCCTGGTAAGCGGCCCGCCCCCCTCAGCACCGCCCCCCTCAGCACCGCCCCCTGCAGCACCGCCCCCCGCAGCACCGCCCCCCTCAGCACCGCCCCCCGCAGCATCGCCCCCTCAGCACCGCCCCCTGCAGCACCGCCCCCCGCAGCACCGCCCCCCTCAGCACCGCCCCCCTCAGCACCACCCCCCGCAGCACCGCCCCCCGCAGCACCCCCCCTCAGCACCACCCCCCAACAGCACCACCCCCCTCAGCACCGCCCCCCGCAGCACCGCCCCCCGCAGCACCGCCCCCTCAGCACCGCCCCCTCAGCACCGCCCCCCGCAGCACCGCCCCCTGCAGCACCGCCCCCCGCAGCACCGCCCCCCTCAGCACCGCCCCCCGCAGCACCACCCCCCTCAGCACCACCCCCCAACAGCACCACCCCCCTCAGCACCGCCCCCCTCAGCACCACCCCCCGCAGCACCGCCCCCCGCAGCACCCCCCCTCAGCACCACCCCCCAACAGCACCACCCCCCTCAGCACCGCCCCCCGCAGCACCGCCCCCCGCAGCACCGCCCCCTCAGCACCGCCCCCTCAGCACCGCCCCCCGCAGCACCGCCCCCCTCAGCCCACCCCCCGCAGCACCACCCCCCGCAGCACCACCCCCTCAGCACCGCCCCCCTCAGCACCGCCCCCCGCAGCACCACCCCCCTCAGCACCGCCCCCCTCAGCACCGCCCCCCGCAGCACCGCCCCCCTCAGCACCACCCCCTCAGCACCACCCCCCAACAGCACCACCCCCCTCAGCACCGCCCCCTCAGCACCGCCCCCCGCAGCACCGCCCCCTACAGCACCACCCCCCGCAGCACCGCCCCCCTCAGCACCACCCCCCGCAGCACCGCCCCCCGCAGCACCCCCCCTCAGCACCACCCCCCAACAGCACCACCCCCCTCAGCACCGCCCCCCGCAGCACCGCCCCCCGCAGCACCGCCCCCTCAGCACCGCCCCCCGCAGCACCGCCCCCCTCAGCACCACCCCCCTCAGCACCGCCCCCCGCAGCACCGCCCCCCTCAGCACCACCCCCCGCAGCACCGCCCCCCTCAGCACCGCCCCCCGCAGCACCGCCCCCCTCAGCACCGCCCCCCGCAGCACCGCCCCCCTCAGCCCACCCCCCGCAGCACCGCCCCCCTCAGCACCGCCCCCCTCAGCACCGCCCCCCTCAGCACCGCCCCCCTCAGCACCACCCCCTCAGCACCGCCCCCTGCAGCACCGCCCCCCGCAGCACCGCCCCCCTCAGCCCCACCCCCCCCGGCCGACCACCCCCCCGCAGCACCACAGCGTGCTCGTGCGGCGCCCAGAGGCCACTTCCGGGGTGCAGCTACCCTTCCAGTGACTTAGTTTCTCCCAGAGCAGGGCTGCCCTGGCGGCTGTTCTAGTGCACACACTTGGCCGTGAGAGGGAGACTCAGTCAGGCACGCATGTGGCTCCTGGCAGTGGCCTCTCACAACGGTTGCTCCCACGGCCCGTGGGCAAGGGGCTGTGAGCTTCAGGCCCAGCCTCAGCCTGAGGAACACCTGGGTCACGACCAGCACATACTCACCTACTGCTCAGCGTTGTGTAGACAGACCTAGGATCAAAATGAACAGTTCAGCCCAGCCAGTGTGGCTCAGTGGTTAAGCGCCCATCCATGAACCAAGAGGTCACTGGTTTGATTCCTGGTCAGGGCACATGCCCAGGTTGTGCGCTCCATCCCCAGTAGGGGGCGTGCAGGAGGCAGCTGAGCAATGATGTTTTTCTCTCATCTATGTCTCTAGCCCTCTCCCTTCCTCTCTCTCTAAAAAAATCAATAAGAACATATTTTTTAAAAATATTTTTTTAAAAAAGGACAGTTCAAAAGACTGTATTCTGGACCCACATGAAACAAAGAAAGAAAAACTCTCTCAGGTCAAGGCTGAGCCCCACTGGCGAAGAGCCTTGGCAGCCGCTGACTTACACTCACCCCCTTCAATCCTCTTTCCCTACGGACTCCCAGAAGCACCTGTGCCAGGAGCAGTGCGGAGGGCTGCAGGCCTGCAGGAAGGTGGTCCTCACATCTAGACACCCCAGTGTTCTCTGTGCCCCTCAGGAGCCCAGGAAACAGCAATGTATTGAATTCCTCCATTTACTTGAGGACAATTGTCTTAAAAGAATAAAAAAATGCCCCACTCCAAAATGTGCAACAGAACACAGAAAATCCAGCCCCAGCATGCTTCTATGCAAAAAGGGTGTTTAACAAAACCTGGCCCACTGCCTCCCCATCTTCCTGGTCATATTTATTGCTACTAATTATGAGCTTCCTTGTGGACTAGTGCTCACGGTGGGCAAGCAGTAATGAGCCCTCCATGCATAAGAAAGACTCCTCTGAGTGAGGAGATACTTCCATCTTTAATTGTGTGTGTGTGTGTGTGTGTGTGTGTGTGTGTGTGTGTGAAACGTGTTCCCAGCAGAGCCTGCCCGCCAGGTCCTGACATCTCAGTGGTTAGTGTGCGCGAGTGTGATGAGGACCATGATCACCACGTCTGTGAGAGCCAGGGGAGAGTGGGCTGACTGGGACTTCTGCGCGTGGCCCTCTCTGCAGCTTTCCCAGGTGCCGTCCTGGACCCCAGAGTGGGCTACGGGGAAAGTTATCCTTTAGTGGAGGAATTTGCTCTGTTTAATTCATGTAGTTATTTTGAGAGTCCCACGTGTGGAATTTGAAATACTGGAACATTTTCATTCATTAGTCTTTCCATTTTTGGGGGGGTACCATTCATTATGGATCCATGAGGCTGAAAATATTTTAGAAGAAAGTTGCTGGTGGTAATAATACGAGTCATACTGTGGGCCAGGGCTTGTATAAGACTTGATAGATTTCAAACCATGCTTTAGTTCTTATCTTGTTTTGCTCTTTTTTCTATCCCTATCCCTCACATACAACAAACCTGAGAGATAGGCATGGCGAGAATTTTTCCCCTGAAAAGAAGTGAGAATGTAGGGAGGTGAGGCGGTCACCCAGGGCGGGTAACAGAACTGGACCCGCCTTGGGCCTGAGTCCACTCAGCACACCAGGTGCCAACATTTCGCCATCAGTTGTCTCCTGGTTGACGCTTGAGGCCTCCTTTTGGTGTCCCTAGTGAGTCCGGAGAAATCACCCTGAAGATCTGTAACCTGATGCCTCAAGATAGCGGGATTTATACGTGCATAGCAGCCAATGACCACGGCACCGCATCCACGTCCGCCACGGTGAAGGTGCAAGGTACAGACTCTCTCCGTTAAACGTGTTTTATGCTTTAAACATATGCTTATTGTCGTAAGATGCACATGACAGCATTTACCATCTTGACCAACTTCCGGTGTCCAGTTCCATAGTGTGAAGTTCATTCACACTGTTGCGCAGCCAAGCTCCAGAACTCGTTTTATCTTGCAAAACTGAAACTGTACCGGTTAAATAACTCCCCATCCTCCTTGCCCCAGCCCGTGGCAGCGCTGTCCTACTCTTCATCTCTATGATTTGTGTGGGTCAATCATTTTCGGGTGGCATTACCAGGGCTCCCTGAAAACTGGAGTGGCGGGAGGGGTGGGGGGGGGGAGGATTCCATTGTGAACATTCCAAAGCAAAGTTCCAGCAAACAGGAAGAGAATGAGTTTTTGCTGTCTGGGGGGTAGAATTTCCAACAGCCAGGCGCGCCTCCCGGGCCTCCCCCAGACCTGGGGAAGGTGGAGAACATCACAGGAAAAATGTGAAATGCTGGTTAGGTGACGTTTCCTGGGTGGCATTCAACCCTGGTGTAAATGACCCGGTTATGCAAAAATAGCCCGGACCCTGTCTCTGTCCTGCAGGCGTTCCCGCGGCCCCCAACCGCCCCATCGCCCAGGAGCGGAGCTGTACCTCGGTGATCCTGCGCTGGCTGCCCCCGGCCAGCACCGGCAACTGCACCATCTCCGGCTACACCGTGGAGTACAGAGAGGAAGGTGGGCTACCTGTGTGTCCTCTCCTCCTTGTAACGAGGCCTGCAGAGCCGCAACACCATTGGTCTCCGTGCCCTCCATCAGCTGTTCCTTCTTGTGTCTCCCAAGGCGGCACCATGGCCCCAGCGCCAGACTGCAGCACCTTCTCGGATCTCAAACACCCAGTCGGGGTTTCCCACAAAATGATGACTCAGGGCGGGTTTCTAAGTGCCTTAGCGCGCACTGCCCTGCTCAGCAGGCCCAGTGACCCAGACAAGCACGCCCATTCCACCGACCAGGAGGCAAAGGCCTAAAGAGAGTTAGGGAGCAAGAGGCTGGAGTTAGAGCCAGGTCGCCAGGTTGCTAATCTGTGATCTTTCTCCCAGAGCAACCAGGAGGGGAGCAGGAGCTGAGCTTTACCCACCCCCCTCCCCTGATAAATGTAGAGATCACTACACAGCAGGGGTGGGGAACCTTTCTTCTGCCAAGAGCCACTTGGATATTTATAATGTCATTCTCGGGCCATACAAAATTATCAGCTTAAACATTAGCCTGCTACATTAGGTCAAACATTTAATTAACTCACCCCTAATGCCTTGGCAGGGCCAGACCAAATGATTTTATGGGCCTTACTTGGCCGTGGGCCCGATGTTCTCCACCCCTGATATAGGGTGTCCCCCAAAAATGTATACACACCCTTTGGATAGTTATAAAGTCAGTGTTTATCAAGTGCTTTTCAGTTTCAAAATTGGAACTATCGGCAGTTAAAGTGCGTATACTTTGTTTGGGTCACCCTGTATATATCATTATATATAGTAACTTTTTAACAAATTGTTCCGTTTTTTAATTTGTTACATTTGCATGCTAAAGTGCATGCATTTCTTCAGGAGTTGTTAAGAACTGAGCCTGACACCTGCTGAGCTGAAATCAGAAGTTGCCAGGGAGCGGATTGTTAACACGTCTCTGAGCCCCACAATGAATTACAATGGAAAGTAATGCTTGCACCCAGAGCCAAAATCATGCGTTTCATTACTCCTATTATTTTAACTCTTCTCTCTCCTGGTAAACGAGGCCCATGCAGTTTAAAGCTGTTTATTTCTGCATCTTTCTCAGGCTGCTTACTCTTGTGTCTCCCAACTCCACACAAATCCACGCTGAGCTGACAGGCACGTCTCACAAAGTTCATATTTATGCAGCATTAGTTAGGAAAATCATCCAATCTCTCCGAGTCCCGGTTTCTTCATCTGTACAGTGAGATGAATGCCCCTGACCTTGGGGTTTCTGTGGATTTAAGTGAGGAAGTGATGTGAGAGAATGGGGGGAGGGTGCCTCCCATGGGTCTTCACAAGCAAGTGGTGCTCAATACGTGCTCATTTCTATTTTGTTGCCATTTCCAAACGCTGTTTTCTCATTGTTGCTCTTACGTTACGTTTTCTGACACCCCGTGAAGAACCGGCCCCACATTCCTCCGTAACTTCTGCATGACCTATGTCTTCTCACTCTCACGTGCACAGCTGACACGGACAGAACCTGTAGGCCAGCTGCCTCCACACGCCTCACTAGGATACTGAACCCAGATCCGCCACAGTTGCCCCAGGCTTTCAGAGCCAGACACAGTGACCACAACGGCCCTTTGAGTGGAATGTGTCCATTTCCCTCTCTTTGTTTGCTGAAGGTCTTTGAAACAATGTCCCTCTGGCTTGTTCTCTTTCTCTCTCCTCGGAAATTGCTAGGTTCCCAGGCCTGGCAGCAGTCGGTAGCGTCGACCTTGGACACTTACCTCGTCATCGAAGACCTCAGCCCCGGGAGCCCTTATCAGTTCAGAGTCAGTGCCAGCAACCCCTGGGGGATCAGCCTTCCCAGCGAGCCCTCGGAGTTCGTGCGACTTCCAGAGTATGGTGAGTCCCACCATGCCCCGCACCCCAGTGGGTGGAGGCCAGGCGCCCCGCATGCTCACCGGCACTGTCTGCCCATTGTGTGGCAGCTGCTGTGCAGTGAGTGGCCTGGATTGGCTCCGTGGCTTCAGTCAAGTCACAGTCCAGAGGCCTGGTGAAGGGTGTTTCCGTAAAGTGTGATTTCAAGTGTCTGGGAGCAAACATTAGATCCCCCCCCCCCCCGGGCCTCCCCCCCCCCCCCCCCCCGGGTTTACCTGCGGCTCTCTGGGCGCTGCGCGTGTCTCCAGGACACGTGGATGCTATCTGCCCCTCTTCTAGGACAGGACACCAAACCCTCCTCTCCCCTGGGAACTGGCCAGCGCAGTGTACCTCACACATCAGGGACACCCCCACTCCCCAATTTAAAATGGGGAGAGAAAAGCAACCTGGTGGGAGGATTTGATCATTTCCCTACCCTCTACCCTCCCAGAACACCTCTTCTCATGTGGGTTCATTTTTATGTGGATGTGCTGAATAATTATGAAGACACACATATAACCAAATACACATGAGTGTTTTACAAACAAGGCTCTTACTTTGTCCACCTGTTCATGATCTCACCAAGCTACCTTGGTCCCAAGGACATTGTGAGAGAGGAAACTTGTTGGCCTAAGGAACTTTTTAAGAAGTGGGGTTTGAGGCAGTGCAGGGGAATGGGCTGGGTGTGTTGGGGTGGAGAGAGGAGGTCTCTATACTGAAAAGGCAATGAATCCGTGTCTCTCTAGGTTAAGGGAGTCCCAGAATCTAAGAGTGGCTCCAGAAACCTTCTGGGGTCCAAGACAACAGCCCTGCCCCTAGCTGAAGCCGGAAATGCTCCCCGCTGGCTCAGCACCCTCCCACTGGCCTTGCTCCGGTGGGCCTGGGACTCCCTGGGAAACCTTGGCCTGGGTCTCTTCCCTCAGATGTCAGGGTGTAGGCACCTTCCGCCTCCACGGGGCTGTGCTCAAGGACGACCACCGCTCATGGTTTGCTTCTTGCGAGCCTTGGTCCCCAAAGACAACACAAATTCACAGTAGTGTCACGCTCACACGCATGCGAGTCATTGTCAGGAAATTAACACGTCATATAAGGAAATGCTGTGAAGATTCTGCTCAGGTGTGTGTTTGGGGTTACGCTAAGTCATTCAATATATGAGATGGGCTCACTGATGCCCGAGAACAGCGGGGTGAGGAAGGGCAGGCTTTAGAATGTTTTGAGCACGTTCCTTCCCTTTTGTCCTTTCCTGGCCCCGTAATTCCTCCCGGGCCCTCTCGGCTGTGTCCTCCCCACCGCCCCAGTCCTCACCAGCTTTGCTAGGCCTTCAGCGCGGTTTCCTCGCTCCCCTTTAGTTTTTTCTACCTAATATGTATTAGTAACATATCCAGAAGCTCCATTCCGGACTGTCCCCGAGTTTCCGTGCTGATGTAGGCAGCACAGGGCGGGAGTCTGGATGCCACGTCAGGTTCCCCTGGGATGAGATTTTTATAAAGAACCTGTCAGGGAATCCTGGCATTTTCCCACCAAGTTAGGCTGCGTGTTTAGTCCTGAGAGTTGCTTTGGGTGATGCTGGGCCTTTTCTGTTAGCCTTTTCGTTATTCTTCGTCACTTCCTCAATCTCATCCATGGATTCTCTCTCTCTCCCAAAGATGCTGCTGCTGATGGTGCCACCATTTCTTGGAAGGAAAATTTTGATTCAGCTTATACTGAGCTGAATGAAATTGGCAGGTAATGACTCCGCTTTCTGTTCCTTCATTCGTGAGCACTTAACAACATCCCAGCAGAATAATGACCGGCTTTTGTTGTTTATTCAATGCATTCTCTCTAAAGAAAATATTAGGACACTTATGTACATTTTCTCTTGTTCTTTTTCTAACTTCTTAAGTTGGAGGTTTCACTCGTCAGCTCTCAGCCTTTCTTTTTTTCTAACATAAGAATTTAAGGCTCAACATTTTTTTCAAAGTACAATTTTAGCTACATCTCCTCAGTTGATATACGGCATTTTCATTATCATTCAGTCCTAAGGATTTTTCCTTCACCTATGATTTTTTTTCTTTGATCCAGTTGTAATAGAAATGTTTTAAAATTTATAAATGTATGAGATTTTTACAAATTATCTTTTTGTTACCGATTGTAACTTATTGCATTGTGGTTGAAGAATCGGGTCTGTAAGATATGTTTCTTTGATTTTTGTTGGGACTTGCTTTATGAGTAGTATGTGGTCAATTTTTATTAAAAGTTCCATAAGTTCTTGAGAAGAATTATACTAATTATACTAATTGTGGGGTTCAGGTCTCTATGGATGACCATGTGTCAAACCCATTGTTTTGTGGACCTTTCTAGTCCAATCACCCGACACACACACACACACACACACACACACACACACACACCTCTTTCTCTCGCTGCACACATATGCATATTCTCTCTCTCTCTCTCTTTCTCTCTCTGTATATTTTGGTTAGAAAAGTGTGTCTTCAAAAACAAAAAGGATAAAGTATGACTTCTTACACAATAATGAAAACAATGTATCATCTGTACCAAAATATAGTTGATGGAAAGGAATGAAAATGGTTGTCCCTTGTGCATGCATTGGTCCGCACGTGGTGTAAGTGAGAAAATGTGAGTAGTGGATCTTGGAAGTCACCCACCACCCCGGATGTATAAAAAAAAGAGCACCCACTGACAATGGGCCATCATGGCCAACTCTGACTGACGAATCTCAATGAAGCCTAAAATTTCCTAAGTGGGGTGGTTTGACAGAGATTGTGGGAACAGCCAAAATGTTTGAAATTCCCATGTTTTAGGCAGTGGTCACAATGTAAACCACTGCCTTTCATTATAGCACCTTTCACCAAAAAACAACTTTAGCTCCACATTTCTGTCTTCTCTGACAAAAGGCCGATGAAAATTTGTGTGTTGATGATGATGATGATGATCTTATTGAGTATCTATAGTGTTCCAGATACTGTGCAGATATTATACAAAAGTTGTACAGCCTGATTCTTAGAACACTGGGACAGTGTTTGAGTAAACTTCCAGTAAATGGAAACTCAGTCCCGGGGGGCGGGGGGGCAGGGTAAGGGGGAAGGAAGTAACTTCCTCGAGGTCCCACACTAGTAACACAGAGCCAGGATTCAAACCCCGGGCTCCCTGACTCTAAGCCTGTGCTTGATTGCTAGCTTCTGTTGTTTTGCATCATAGCAATTTTTGTCAAAAATAAGCTGTAGTCATGATTGAAATCTAGTTTGCTCCGTGATATTGAAGTTTGTGAAGCTAGCTATGACCCTAATTATGAGCAGGTCAAACGGGTTACATCACCTGGCTGCCCCAGTTAATTCCTCCCCAGTTGCTGATGGCCTTAGGCTAAGGCCTGATTTAGCTAGAAGAGATGGATGTTCTGGTATTTCTCAAAGGGCAGATCAATTTTCTGATCTGTTCAAAATGTTAGCGACCCCTCTCAAGGACACCAGGGAGGTGGTACTGGACAGCCCGCTGCGTCAGTGGGAGGGGCCTGTCTCCAACCTCCATCTTTGTCTTCTCATATAAATGTATTTATACCAGAGACCTTGACTGCATTGTGAAAAGCCAATGTAGTAAAACAATTAGAGCATGCACCTTTATGGAAAAAGCAAAGCATGCAAACCTATACATTTGGCTTATGAAACACAGAAGGGCTCTCAGCTGATCTGAAGAGCAAGTTGGGTGGGGGTCCGAGGGGTTATATACCGTCCTGTCTATAGGTTTCAGATTCCTTTGCTGACTATTTTGGTACAGATTCATTCTCAAGGTCCCTTTTTACTTTGTCGTGGCCTTCCCAGAATTCATGAGAAGCACCTGGCAGCTTTATCTTGCCAAGCCTCAAGACTGCTGGCTCCTCTGGTTAGGGAGTAAAACGGCCCTTTTTTCCCTTTCTCCTTTCCCCCTGCCTTCCTGCATTCTCTCCGGAGGGAGTTTTTTTAAACCATATGCTCCGTGTCCTTGGCTGTGGAAGATAAGGGCTTGTTAGTTACAAACTGGCTGCAAATTGCCCACACTGTTTGGCTTTGTTTTAATGTTCCCGTCTCAGTTTTCCCATTCCTCCTGCCCTGGAATCCTGTAACAAAAGCCATCTGTGGTTTCTCAAAAATCACATCTCCAACAACCTACGACATTTCCTCTAGCCCTAATATAGTCCTCATATTTTCAGAAGATCTTTTAAACATGCTGTATGTTACTAGGATGGAAATAAAACATGTAGATACAGGGGACACGTGAAAGATATATGTGCCAGGGCCATAAACATGAGCCCACTTTCTCCATCACAGCTACACCTGGAATTCCAAGCATACATGACTATCTTTTTAAAAATCAGAAAGGACACACTCAGGGGGCAGACTCAGTGAGCACCAAAGCCCCATTGAAGCAAGTCTTGCCCTGGAGGGGTGTCTCCAGCACAGAAGTTCTCCCACTGCAGACAGAGCTGATTCTCACAGCCAATTAGCCTGGAGGTCAATTCCTCCCAGTGATGCCTACAACAATCAAGGCTTAGCTACAATAAGACTGCACACAAAGGCCACAAGGGGGGAGAACCAAGATGGCGGCATAGGTTAACGCCGGAGTTTGCTGCCTCGAACAACCACTTCAAAAATACAACTAAAAGACAGAACGGACATCATCCAGAACCACAGGAAGGCTGGCTGAGTGGAAGTTCTACAACTAGGAGGAAAGAGAATATCATACCCAAACTCAGAGGAGGAGCAGTGCGGAAAACAAAAAGGTACAGAGGTGCGCGCGGAGTGGGCTGGTGGCTGAGGGCGCAGTTGTCTGTTTCAATCGGGAGGGAGTCTCAGATTCTGAGCTCCAGATCCGGGCGAGTCTCTAGAGACCCAGACTCAAACGGGAGAAGTGGGACTGTCTGGCTTCCGTCGGAACTCGAAGGCAGCTTTCTCTCTGAGGTTTGCAGCGGTTGCTGGGACACTGGGAGGCAGAGCCTCTGGGGACGGGACTGAGAGCAGCCATAACTGCTCGCTCAGCCCGCCCTGTTGATCCCCTGGGACACGCCACGCCCAAGCCCTGCACAGAGCCATTTGCCGGATAGCCTCAGGCAAAGGCTAGATTAGCACCTCCCCAGAGGACAGAAGTTCTCTCACTGCAGACATAGCTGATTCTCACAGCCACTTGGCCTGGAGCTCAAATCCCCTCTAGTATTAACTACAATAATCAAGGCTTAACTACAACAAGACTGCACACAAAGACCACTAGGGGGTGCACCAAGAAAACATAAAAAAATGCGGAGACAAAGAAACAGGACGCAAATGTCAGAAATGGAAGATATAGACCTCAAAACCACACTTTTAAGGTCTTTCAATAATTTTCTAAAAACTGCTGATAAATGTAGTGAGATCCTCAAGAAATCTAATGAGACCCTCGATGTTGTGATAAAGAACCAACTAGAAATTAAGCATACACTGACTGAAATAAAGAATATTATACAGACTCCCAACAGCAGACCAGAGGAGCACAAGAATCAAGTCAAAGATTTGAAATGCGAAGAAGCAAAAAACACCCAACTGGAAAAGCGAAATGAAAAAAGAAAGCGAAGAAAATACGAAGATAGTGTAAGGAGCCTCTGGGACAGCTTCAAACGTACCAACATCAGAATTATAGGGGTGCCAGAAAATGAGAGAGAGCAAGACATTGAAAACCTATTTGAAGAAATAATGAAAGAAAACTTCCCCCACCTGGTGAAAGAAATAGACTTACAGGTCCAGGAAGCGCAGAGAACCCCAAACAAAAGGAATCCAAAGAGGACCACACCAAGACACATCATAATTAAAATGCCAAGAGCAAAAGACAAAGAGAGAATCTTAAAAGCAGCAAGAGAAAGAAACCCAGTTACCTACAAGGCAATACCCATACGACTGTCAGCTGATTTCTCAACAGAAACTTTGCAGGCCAGGAGGGAGTGACAGGAAATATTCAAAGTGATGAATACCAAGAACCTACAACCAAGATTACTTTATCCAGCAAAGCTATCATTTGGAACTGAAGGTCAGATAAAGAGCTTCACAGATAAGGAAAAGCTAAAGGAGTTCATCACCATCAAACCAGTATTATATGAAATGCTGAAAGGTATCCTTTAAGAAGAGGAAGAAGAAGAGAAAGGTAAAGATACAAATTATGAACAACAAATATGCATCTATCAACAAGTGAATCTAAGAAACAAGTGAATAAATAATCTGATGAACAGAATGAACTGGTGATTATAATAGAATCAGGGACATAGAAAGGGAATGGACTGACTATTCTTGGGGGGGAAAGGGGTGTGGGAGATGCGGGAAGAGACTGGACAAAAATCGTGCACCTATGAATGAGGACAGTGAGTGGAGAGTGAGGGCGGAGGGTGGGGTGGGAACTGGGAGGGGGGAGTTATGGGGGGAAAAAAGAGGAACAAATGTAATAATCTGAACAATAAAGATTTAATTAAAAAATAAAAATAAAAATAAAAATAAAAATCACTCTCTGGTAATGAATATTATAAAAATCATGGTGCAAAAAGAAACAGCTTCACTCCTATAGCCCATCCATAGAGCATGGCATAGTAACCGGAAATAAGCTATCTAGGCCCCAGTGCCGTTGAAGGAGGCCAGGGAGTTAGCCCCTGGGAATGCTAACTGGTGCAAGCATGTCAAACTCACAGCTTGCAGTACCAGGCTACCCTTTCACTCCCTCCCAAGACTTCACTA